GTTTTTCGACCCGTATGTAAGGACCGGCCTCAGCAATGTTTTGCACATCATAATTTTAGTTCCTCTTTGGATATTTTTTGAGTGACATTGTTTTGGGAGTCCATACTATACCCTATTTTTAAAGGTGTGTGAAGCTGTCAACATGTTCAAAATAACTTCCAAAGACTGCCTCCCGTTCCTCATTTGCTATAGTATCCTTAGTAACCAACATGCACTTGATTTTGTCTTAGTTGATGACTAGACCGACCTGTTTCGCCGCCGTTTCCAATTCTAGGAAATATTGCTCAACATCTCGCTTGCTACGCCCTATTATGTGAATATTATCAGCGTATGCTAATATTTGTATCGATCTATTGTAAATAGTATCGTCATCTCGAATTGGCCTGTCTCGGATTCTCGGCAATGGAGGCAAGCCAGAGCCTTATCTGAGTCCATCCTTTATCTCAAACGATCGAGAATTCTCTCCCTGTCTAACACTAGCTTTTAAGTTAGACATGGTCATTCTCGTTAATCATACAAGTGTTTCTGGTATATCAAACTCACGCATTTATTGGTATAGTACTGTTCCCTTGATACTGTCGTATACGGCCCTAAAGTCGACGAATACGTGATGGGTTTTAATGTTAAATTCTAATGTTTTCTCGAGGATCTATCTGATTGAATGAATCTGGTTAATTGCTGATTTTTTCTGGAATGACTCCGGCCTAGTATTTTCCAACTATGCCCACTGTATAAATTTTTAGCCTTTAGTAGAGAATATTTGCTAGTATTTTGTAAGCATTTAACAGGGTTATACCTCTGCAGTTGTCATACTGAAGCTTATCCTCTTTTTTATGTAACGGGCATATCACGCCATTGAGACTCATACTCAAATATCTTTTTATTGTCTGTGGTTTCGTTATATTGTCTTAATCTGATCTTTCATCAATTTCTTCCTTTTGTGTAGTTTGGCCGTTTTTTGTTTTATACTCTTTTTCTTCTTAGAGTGCCGCCCGCTACGGAGGTTGGCAATCATAATGGCTATTTTTATTTTTGAACTTGGTGCTCTAAACAAATCTATCAATCTGCATTGATACCAATCACATAGATTCTTCAACCAAGAATTCTGCCTTCGGCCAACAGATTTTCTTCCTTGAATCTTCCCCTCTATTATGATAATCAAAATTTCATATTTTAGTCCCTTCATCACGTGGCCCAGGTATTTCAGTTTTCTTATTTGTATACTAGTGATTAGTTCTGTTTCTTTACCAGCCTCTCAAGTACTTCTTTATTTGTAATTCTATCAGTCGTTGATATTTTTAATACTCTGTGGTACAACCAGAGTTCGAATGCTTCTTTTTAAATTACATTCAGCTCCAGATAACAATACTGAAAATATATGATAAATAATAAATTAAAAATATATGATAAATATAGAATATATAAACATCGAATGGTACGTAGTATGATTTCCAAATCAAGATTTATGCACCTTAGGAGTGGTTTCACTCGTATAAATGCTGATCTGGCAATCCCCATTTATTTCTGCAGTATGATCATTGGTTTCATTGATCAAAGTTCCCAAGTACTGATATTTTTCTACTTGTTCTATCTTCTTAAGTTCCATCTTCTATCGAAGGTTGGAAATCATCATGGCTATGCGGGCCCTGTTGACTGCCGCTCTATCACGTTACCATTTATTGTCATGTGGTGTATATTTTGTGGTCTTTTTGTAATAAGCATATATTTCGAATTTTTAGCGTTTATAGTTATTCCCATCTCAGCACTATCCATATTCCATGGCTACTCTATCGAAAGCTTTTTCGTAGTCAACAAAATACAAGTATACTCTTTTCTCCACATGCAAGTATTGTTTGCTTCTTTATATTTTTATTCATCGTCAAACCATTTTTCAAGTTCGTCTCTAGTCGTTGTCCAATTGTTTTTCTGCTGCTTCAATTATAATTATTTTAATATTCTTCCATTTGTGTTCTCTCTATCTCCTTCTTCTCAAAAGTTCCCAATTTTCTTATTGCATATTATTTGCAGAAGTTATATCTTTTGCCTATTTACTCATTTTTTAGCTTACCTAGGTCCCAGTTACGTTTTATATTTTGTTGAGCATTTGCTCTTATTATTTTTGGCATTACCAATACGTGGTGTGAATCTGCATTAGCTCCCCTATATGATCTGACGTCTTGAATTATTTTTAACCATTTTTCGATACTAAAATATGATCAATCTGCTTCCATCTCTTCGATTCAGAAACATCAAAGATACTTTATGTTCCTTTTTATCTCGGAATTTAGAGGTGCCAATATATGTATTTGTCGACATAGCTAAATTACATGGCCCTGTTCCGTTATCATTTGTGCTTTCATAAACCCGGTCACCTCTTGGTTATTTTACTCTTTACCAATCTTTGGGTTGATGTCTCAACTACCATCAGTATATCATTCGTGGGTATAAAAACGCAACTCATCCTCGTCGCTCTTGTCTTCTGTTTTGGCGTAAACGTTAATTATTGATATGTTCGATTGTTTTTGTGTTGTAATTATTTTTTGCTGCCGCTTCATCTGGAAGTGTGACAGGAACTATCAAAGGCGATCCGGAAGCGGACATAGACACCTCTAATCGTTCCCCTCAACCAAAGCACTTAATAAATCCCAATAATAATGTATCTTTATAATCGTTGTTCTGGTTGTTTCCTAGGAGTTAAATATTCTAAGAAATTGAAATAAACGATATACATAAATATAAACTTTTTATTTTAATATAAACATACAATAGGTACTATATATTTTTTCAATATAATATATGAAATAACCAAAACATAAACTGACTTTTTTTGGAATAATCAGGACTGGTGTATTCAATCTCTAGATTAAAAACCATAAAAAACTAACATTTCAAGAACTACAAATAAAAAGCATTATGGCAATATAACACTTATGTTTAATATTAGGTTAGAATATAAATAAAAGAAAAAGTGGGCAGATTCACAAAGTACTTCGATGGTTACTTAAATATCAATTATTGTGAACCGAAGTCTATAATTAAAAAATATATAATTAATCGTGGAAGTTGTGGAATTAACGAAGCTTTTGAAACTGCCAGGAGGGTGTATAAAATGCTAATAAATATAATAGCTCAAAAACTTAACGTTTTCAGCGGTTAGACCTGAGCATATTAAAAAAGTACTGTCGAGCAATAATGGCCTACTTTTTGTTCCTAATATTTAAACATAACATACATACACGTTTACCCTATAACGATAAACGTGACAACATTCAATATTTCAGCCATTGCTTGATTACAAATACTGCATAATCAAACACATTTTAAACTAGAATAGCGTTATCACTCAATGTGAACGAACAGTATATTCAATTTTATCTTAAAATTTTAATAATATGCTTCACGCATAACATTAATTTGTTTTAACTTATGTTATTTGTTGTCATTTTCGCTCATTGTCCTTATTTTTAAAACATCATGTCAACACTGTTGATAAAACATCAATGATTTAGCTCCAAAATTAGCAAATTTATATAGAATGTGACACGTTCACTGTTTTAGAGGTTTGTTGAATTGAGTACATGAGATTAGCAACATGTTTTAAGGGAAAATAATATATTAGCCATTAATCGTATTACGTAATTTAAAAAAATACCTTATTTTTCATTATTTCCCACTTGAGAATTTGAGGGTTTGTTTTGATTTTTTAAAATATTAGATATATCTCATAATTATCATTAATTTAATTCTTTAACTAATCTCATCAGACAACTGTTACATATTTCATTATATTGTTATAATTTACATACATAGGAGAGTATCTTTTATTTATTCGAGTTCTATTATTAAATAAATATTTTATTTGAGTTTCAAATCGTTGGATATGGTATAAAACATTTCGAGAAATTAGTTTGCCCACGTAATTTAAATTATAAAACGAAGAATAGAGATCAACGTAATCAGTGTTATCACAGTTAACATCTCCAATATTTTGCATCGATTTCAAACAAAGCCTTTAGTCTGGAAAAATCAAGCTATCGTTAAATGAGATTTTTTAACCAAATAATATTTCAAATAGATCTTGCAACATAATTTAGAATTTGCTTTTGCTAATGAATTAATTTTTTTTTCTTTGAATATTTTTTATTATAAAATACTTTGTAATAATATGCACGTGTCAGAGTGAAATTTGAAGAATTTGGAGTGGTAAAATTAATCATTTACAATTATATGCGCTTATCTTTAAATGGGAGGGACTTTTAAATAGGAATAAGATAATACGTAAATAGATAAGTAGTAAGGAATGAGAGATAATTCGGGGTAATATTTAGTGCTTAAATGTTTATCTTATAAAAAATAATTAACCTTTTTAATATTCCAACTTCATCCATATTTGTGTTTAAACATTGCTGCCATCACAATCCAATGATGATAAAGAAGCCCTATTATTATTTGATAACTACTTGGTATACCGTAGAATTTTCATTCACAAAATCTGGCAAACCAAACAGACTCAATATAATAACATTTTATATTTACCTAAAGCTTTACCATTATCATTACCAATACCATTATCACAAACTGTTGATAAACTACAAAATTATTGTACAAATACGGAATGATCCCCTGGGACATATGGCAGCATATTGCAGATATTTGATTAAAAATAACTGTTTGAAATAAAAGGAAAACTTAATAAAAGTTTGTGTGCTTCTGCGACTCATCGAATTATTTTTAAGTTTGCCGTAAATTAAATATAGGCCTTTTATGTATCAATTGGCACGCAAATTAAATATTTAATTAAACATTTTGTTTGTCTTTGCGATCAGATATATCAATGAATACTTTTAAAGCGTTTAAAATATGTAATAATCATAAAATGAGATCTCATTGCCTGAAACAAAAGACAAATATAAAATTAAATACACCATTCCCGGTAAACAATGTTTTCAATATCTTGATATGAATGTGTAATATAAAAAAAATGAGAGCAGTAAAACGGCTCAAAGTAACTCATTGAGATTAGCTATAGATTTTTTCAGTAGATCATGTTGACTACGAGCATGCTTAATTTCTAATTCGGCCAATTCTATCAAACTGAAACAGAAAGTTATGTTTAGTCGTAACTTTATACATAATATACGTGTGAGCAAAAAATTTCACTTCAAAACTAATAATAATATACGTTAGACATGGTTGGGCAGTATTTCCTGTTTGTTTTTAGTACAAATATATATGACGGTTGGTAAAGGAATTGGTGATTTCGGCTAAAGAAATTCCTGTGAGACTTATCAATGTCAATGACTACCCAGTGACCATCAAGAAAGAGACAAAAGTAGGAACTTGTGTACCTGTGAGATCCATAATCCGTCAGACGACAACATCTGATAATTCCAACGACAAATTCGACCAAATGGTTGCAGTTGCTGGACAGTCTCTGAATCAGATTGAGAAAAGGAAATTAAAGGAATTTCTTCGGCAGTATCGTGATATTTTCGTACCGAAAGGAGGAAAGACGGGAAGAACTACCGTTGTTAAGCATAAAATTGATACTGGTAATGCTATGCCAATTCGCCACACTGCTCGACGATTACCACAGCCGAAAAGAGAGGAAGCTGAAACGATTGTTCAGGAAATGAAGAAAGGCAGGGTGATAGAACCGTCTACGAGCCCATGGGTCTCTCCGGTGGTCCTGGTTAAGAAGCAAGACGGAACGACGAGGTTCTGTGTATCCTCTACCTCGGATCGACGACATATTTTACACATTGGCTGGAAGTAAATTGTTTTCTATTTTGGATTTGAAGTCTGGATACTGGCAGGTAGAAATGGACCTAGTAGATAAAGAAAAGACAGCCTACACCACAGGATCTGGATTGTGGCAATTCAACGTTATGCCATTTGAACTTTGTAATGCTCCTGCGACATTTGAGAGGCTTATGGAAAATGTGTTAAGAGGGTTATCTTGGAAAACATGATTATTTTATCTAGATGACATAATCGTTTTTGGGGGGACTTTTGGAGACCATCTGAAGAATTTAAAAAACGTTTTTAATCGACTTAAAGCTGCCCCATTGATGTTAAACCTCAAGAAGTGCCAGCTATTTCAAGGTAAAGTCAATTATCTGGGTCATACAGTCAGTAAAGGAGTGGTGGTGGATAAGGGAAAAATCGATTCCATTAAGGAATGGCCAGAACCAACTGCCAAACATCAACTGAGACGTTTTCTTGGACTATGTACTTACTATGGAAGGTTTATTAAGAAGTTTGCATATTTCACTAAGCCATTAACGCGACACAGAGGAAGCAAGAGATTACCGCTGGGATACAGACTGCCAAAATGCCTTTGAGACCTTAAAAAAGCATTTAATCACAGCACCAATTTTAGGGTATCCACTGCCAGAAGGAGAGTTCATCTTAGATACAGATGCAAGTAATGTGGGAATTGGAGGAGTGCTGTCTCAGATTCAAGGAGGAGAGGAAAGAGTCCTTGGATATTTTAGTAAAGTTCTCTCAAAACCTGAACGGAATTATTGCGTCACGAGAAGAGAACTTCTGGCAGTAGTGAAATCAGTAGAGCACTTTTATCAATACCTCTATGGAAGGAAGTTTTTAATCCGAACCGACCATGCCGCCCTTAAGTGGTTGATGCAGTTTAAGAATCCAGAGGGTCAGATAGCCAGGTGGATCGAACGACTCCAAGAATATGATTTCAAGATTGAGCACCGGGCCGGAGTTAGCCACCGAACGCTGATTCTCTTTCCAGAAGGCCATGCCCAGCAGAGTGTTCCCACTGCAACAAAACGGAATCCACGGAAGCAGCAGTGCTAAGAACGACGATGGTCAACGACGACTGGACGCCTACTAAGATAAGGGAAGAACAAGAGAGAGATCCAGTTATACAGAAAATCCGAAAATGGAAAGATCAAAACCGTCGAATACCTTGGCAACAAATATCAAACCTATGCTCAGTAGTTAAGACGTATTGGGCCCAGTGGGACTCAATTATCATGGAAGATGGCTTGCTCAAACTAGTCCTGGAAAATGATGACATTTTGGTGTAAAGAAGACCCTTAAGCGAATTTGGGAACGGTTTTATTGGATGATTAGTTCCGACGACGTAAAAGACTGGTGTAAGAAATGTACTATTTGTGCTACGAGTAACGGGCCTTACCGAAAAAGGAGAGCTCCTATGAGACAATATGATGTGGGAAACCCGTTTGAAAGAATAACTTTGGGCATTGCTGGGCCATTTCCAGAAAATGAAAGTGAAGGTTTGGAAATCCATAGTGACCAAGACAGGAACTTCGAAAGCGATCTATTTCAAGGAATATGTGATAGACTAGGCACAGAATAATAAACAATCAGAAGGACCACTCTCAGATGCCGCCTTTGAAGTTTTTCAGCACGCGCGCCATGTTTTAGGAGGACACAAACATATGATTTGTGAGGTTATGCAATTGTTTACATTTATGTTTAATTATATTATATTTATGTTATTATATTTAAAACTGTTAATATAATTGTATAGTATGTCTATGATTGCCGTAAGTCAAATAAACCTGTTTTTTTCCATGCACACCACATAAACAACACTGGTTCCCTTTAAAATCCTCGTAAAACATGGCGGAACGTCTGCGCGAAGGAGATGCGCGTACTTAATTTTCCGTGGCGAGTGGGCATTCTGTTTGTTTATTATTCTGTGGACTATGCATGAAGAAAACAAAAACCACAGCATATCATTCGCAATCGAATGGTATGGTAGAACGGATGAGTAGGACAGTTGGCAACTATTTGACAAAGATGGTGTCCGATCATCAGCGAGACTGGGACCAATATCTTCCGTTCCTTCACAATGGCCTACAGATGGCTCTATAATCCCAAAAAGCGAAAAGATTGTTCTCCCAAGTTGCAGCAGTTTTGGGAAGGTCCATACCTCATTATGGAGAAGATCAATGATGTCATTTACCGAATAAGCAAGATTCAGAGGAGAAAGCCGATGATACTACACCATAACCTGCTGGCGTCTTTCGAAGGTGACCACGACGTAAATTAAGAAGTGGAAGTAAACCAAGTCCAATGTGTGTCTGACCTCACGTTTGAGGAATTCATGGGTGGCTATGGAGGTACCGGTAAAGCAAGACATGGTGTTACCACTGAAGAAAGATCTACTCGCGCTTCCCGATGACTATTCACTGGCCCTTACCATCCCGGCCAGTATCAAAGACGCACCAGGGTTGGCATCCGTCTTTAGAAGGACGTTTGGTCGAGTTGAAGAACTTCAATGAGAAGTGCGAGCTCCTGGTAAAACCTTGAAACTCCAAGATGCATCACGTTACCTTTTCTACCTGGTAACAAAAGACACTGGCAATTACAATGGTATGGTCACGTGATGAGAATGGAGGAGGAGCGGTGGCTAAAGAAAGCCTTAATGTATGTTCCACCAGAAAGAAGGAAAATGAGAAGACCACCAAATTCCTGGAGAAGAGAAATTACAAAAACAATGCAATCTAGAGGCTTAGAAGAGGGAGATTGGAGAGATAGGAAAAGATAGAGGCTGAAATGCGGGAAGCGGCAATCGCCGTAGGACCCCCGTTATATGATGATGAAGAAAACAAACTGCCCGTGACCAACCTACCTACCGAGATGTATGGGAATCCTTACTTCAATTGAGAGAGCACGTACTAGAGTCCGACGTGCAAAAGTTAGCCATGCCAAAGTTGGAGTGCCGCCAATTAGATTGGAGGGTTATCCGAAATATGGTGGACGAGATCTTTAAAGACACCGAAGTCCAGGTGTTAGTCTGTTGCAATCCGCATAGTTACTGGTGCGGAGAGAAAACCGTCCCTTGTCATTTTTATACAACTGGAAGTTGTAAAAGAGGGTCCAGTTGCCGATACCAGCATACCGTTCCAGTTCCAGATCCGACAAGGTTCCAGAAGGAACCATCTTTGAAGAGGGGGGCAATGAAATATGAGTCATATTAAAAACCTGTAAACATGTTGTTTATTCACTAATATGGTCTAGATTTTACGACCCTTCGACTAGCTGGCAGAAATGCAAAGTAATAAAAACCGGTCCATTCGAACGTTCCGGAAATAGGTTGAATGAAAAACCCTCCCGTAACCTTCCAGTATTTTCGCCAAGGGTCGACATCCTTGACACATTATAGTCTAACAGCTGTATGGGTATATAACGGGACCTTTTTAGAAAACAGGGAGTCAGAAGATCAATTCGCGACGGGTATTTAAATGTAACGCTCGTATACATAAATAAATTATGTGTAAGATGAATTAGTATGAATAAACTTTAAATTAAGTTGTAAGTGTTGTAAATATAGAACCTTTGACAAATAAATAAAAACAATAAATTAGAATTCATAAAGACTTAACACTATATTACTTCTATAAATATTTTTTACTGCGTTATCAACTGTTGGAGTATATTTAGATCCTCCATATAGCGTTCCGCAATGCTAGTAACCCTATAGTGCGGTGCACGTGCCGTTCGAGAAAAATTGTGGATTTCGTTTTTCATTACGTTGTCTTCTGACTCTAGCATTGGCACTGGGGCGGATATACGAGAAGGGAAATTTCCCCTTAAGGTTCACAATTAAAGAAATTCCATTATTTATGTTTTGGTTGGTGTTTCATTGTAAGTCCCCCCTCAGGCAAATGTTTAGATCTACCACTGCACTGCCATCATGCATTTCTAAACAGAATCGAGATTCAACACTAAAGACAACTCCATTCCATTCCTGGTCCTAAGCCAATCGTTCTTTGCACCATTCAAGACTATTACGTCAATGTTCAGGAGATAAGACGTAGTTCAGGTATTAATACTGCAAAGAACAGAACATTGGCTTACTTCGGCCACATTATGCGTAATAATATATACAGACTTTTACGGTTGAATCTAAAAAGCAAGATTGAGGTTAAGTGAGGCCCTAGACGCAGACTAGGCAGAGATTATTTCTCATTTCTTTCATCTATCCCGTTAACATATCCATGGCATTTCAGATTATTTTTGTTTTTATAGTAAAAAGACATACTTACTCGTGTATCTTTATTTAACCTTGCCTTTGTTATGTATATTGCTGAGACGATTTAAATTTTAAAAATACAGAAAACATAATATAAAGCATCGCGCTAGTCTACTGTTCCATCTTTTTTTGTACATTAATACATGATTTCTGTACTTACTGATTTATATTTTACTTCTTTGTCCATTTTAAAGCATTTATTTATATTAACTCTTTTATCTGAATTTAAAAGTTGCATTAAAGAATATGATGGAAATAAGAAACAAACAGAATACTAACCTTTTTCTAAATGCGTGTAGCCTTCTAGTTTTAAAATCGAGTAATTCTTCCTTGGCTTGGGCAGATATCGATTCGAATTGTTCACATGCAACAGATTGAGCTTTCTCCGCCTAAAAGATAATTGTTTATTATGTTTCTGTGCATTAAAGTATAGACAATGAAAGAAACAAGAATAACAATAAGACAATACGACAGAACGATGTAGAAACATGGCCACTAAATGTGTCATTCAAAGGTGATCAAAGCAGCCGCTTTTACGAGAGCTGAAGAATGTGTATATACTACATGCCGTTGTAGAATCATGCTAATTAATAGAAAAAAGTTATTAAAATTAAAGTACGGTATAGTTGTCAGTGACATCCATTGAAATTCAAACAGATTTTTGAGAGCGACTTAAACTAGTCCAATATAGCGAAGAGCGGCGAGGAGCACATATGATAGAAAAGTACAGGACGGAGAAGCACGTCTTTAACAAATTCAGAAACAAGTATTGTTTAACAGTTTGCTATAACTAATTTATTTACAATGAGAATACATTTTCTGTTTACTTATTGTCTATTATGGACTTTTAATTAACAAAAGGAAAATGCATTAAAAGAGGGTAACATTTACTTTTAAATAGTTGATAGAAAAAATAATAAAAGTATATCCAAACTATAAATAAAATTAAACGGATCAACATAAATAGTATTTTATTTTGCAGCTTCAAATATTTAAAACAGATATCCAAATAGTTACCTGCATTAAAAAACAAGTTATTTTCCGTTAAACAAACTGTAATCCGCAGTAGTAAATCAGTCCTAAAAGGTGTTAGTATTTATCCGAGTTAATTAAAATTAAAGGACATCTTTAAAATCCTTGTGTGAATTTCTGAAATAACTTTGTGATTATTGTCGACAGTTTTTGATAACAAAATAATTAAGATCGTGGCATCTACAAGCTGAATGTTTATAATTTTACGTCTATATAAGCTGGTTGCTTAAATCAACCAGAAACTTTTTATTACATAAGGTTTTAAAAGAAAATAGAAAAACTGTTCCGACCTTGTTAATAGAAAAAAAGAAGTGCCTAAATGTTGGGATACCAATGATTTGTATGGAACTAAGAAAACGTTACGATTATTGTTATATTTGTACTGACTTAGATTCAGCAAGGAGGCTACTATCGCGTTCTGAAGTAATACCCATTTCAACATTCCGTAGTGTACCTACACTCCCAGAGGATGACCAAAAAACATCAACGTCTGATCAAATTGAGTATTTGCAATCGGATAAGGACAATGACCTTGTTGGAGACCGTAAACTATCCTAGGAGGCTTCTAAATTACTTACGTACAGATTAAACGAAAACATGCTATTATATCCACGTGCTATTCCAAAGATTTAGAGGTATGAACTGTACTATATATGCCTGTTTGACACTGTTCAAGGACACTATTCGGGATTAAAAAAACCTGATCAAGACAGAAAAGAAATAAAGGAAAACTTTTAAAGCCTTGGACCTCTGAGGGCCGTAGAGCTGAACTATAGGTCTTTTTATCTTATTATTAACCACCCTTATTTATTTAAACTACTTATTAAATTTTAATAAGTAGATTAATCTTTTATGTTATGATGTACACCTCAGTGTATGTCTATTTACATAGTGACTAATCGATCTTTCTACATTTTAAAGGTTTTCAGTAAACGTGTTCACTGCTTCTTGACTGGCTTTACAACTCGGTGTGAGTCTTCGCCGCATCCACTATAGCCCTCCATCTTCTACGATCTTGCGCTTCCATTTCTGATTGTTGTACCCCAATCCTGGATAAATCAGCTTCACCATCATCCTTCCATCAAGGCCTACTGATCTTCTACCATCGGGTTTCTCAAAAAACACCGGCTTTAGGACTCTGTCTTCCTCTGATCTTACCACATGACCTGTCCATCTTATCCGGTTAGCTTTTATATATCTGAATACGTTTTCAGTACCATAGAGAGTCACCAATTCAGCAATGCGGCGTCTATTCCACTCTCCTGTCAATTCATCTCTTTGAGGTCTAAATATCATTCCAAGAACCTTCCTTTCAAATACCAGCAGCTTATTTATTTCCCGCTGATGTAGAGTCCAGGTTTCACTTCCATATGTAACAACTGGGCGAATAGTTTAGTTGTACTAAAGTCTTAATTTGGATTTTTTTAGCAGCTTAGATCTTAATAATGATGATAGGGAGTATACTGTTCTATTTCCCGCAGCTATTCTTGATGAAACCTCTTTCTCTACGTTGTTGTCAACTAATATTACCGTCCCCAGTTATTTAAACTCTTTTACTACTTCGAAGTTTTGGTCATTAATAGTTATGTTCTGCCTAACTCTTAGTCTTGAATTTTTGGTTAGTAACATATATTTCGCCTTCTCTTCATTTATTCGAAAACGCAGACTACCTGTTTCGTCCTCGAGTTGTGAAAACACCTCTCTCACGTCTCTTGTAGAATGAGCGACTGCATCTAGACCGCAGCAATGTCCAATAATAGTTTTGATCGTCGATTATCAAATCCCCCTCTCAGCTAAGGGCTGACATATGAGTATGAGTTTACCTGTGCATATGAGTCTGTCACGCACATTTCAGTTAGCTAAACTAATTTTCTTGGTATTCCTATTTCTAGCATTGTTAGCCATAGTCTACTTCTTTTTATCGAATCATATGCTTGCTGGAAATCTACAAAAATTTGGTGTACATCTCGATTGAATTCCCAGTTTTTTCTATTATTTGTCGGATCGTAAATATTTGATCTATTGTTGAGCTTCCAGCACGAAAGCATTGGTAGTCGCCTGGAATATCTCCCAAATAAGTAGTGAGCCTATTTAGGAAGATAATTGATACAACCTTTTACGCTGTGTTAATAAGCGATATGCCTCTATAGTTTCGAAATTGTTCTTTATCTCCCGTCTTATATGTGGGTATTTTGACACTTCCATTCCATTCGCTAGGCATTTTCTGTTGTTGCCATACTCTCAGAATAACGTCACACATGTATACCATCATGATCATGATTTCGATTTTTAAGACATGTTATCGCATTTTTTACTTCTTGAAGTGTTGGTGCTGGTATTTCCACATCTTCAGAATGCAATGTAATATCTGTTTCCTCCATCTCACTTTCAATATCTAGTGAATTCCGAAAGTATTCCTTCCATCGTTCGACGATTTCTATTTCTATCATTATTAGTTCACCTGCTTCATTTCTCATAGTTTGTGTTACCCTAATAGTTTTACCTTGTCTGACTGTCTTCACTTCCCTAAAGAATTTCCTTACCTGATTTCTCTCGCCACTTATGTCCATTTGTAGAGCTTTGTAGCATTTTAAATCTTTTGTGAGATTTTATTTCCAGCATTTCCTTGCATTGTTTATCAAACCATTTCCGTTTTGGGCAAGTCATCTTTTTTCCAATGGTTTCCTTAGCTGCTTGTTATATACCTGATGCCACTCGCTGGCATAGTTCACTTCGGTCCACTCGGTGCCAAAGTTGTTTACTGCAGTACTATAATGTATATTTAACTTAATAGATGTTGCATAGAGTACAAATCTCAATATCAGACGATATTTATTCAATACCAATATCAATATATATTCCATACAAAATCAAAACGGCACTTTTAGAAATAAAAAATAACAAATCCCCTGGCGATGACAGAGTAGTGATCGAAGCGATCAAACTAGGTGGAAATAAAAGTATCCAGGCTTTGGCCCAGGTTTTCACCGAATGCATCTACCAAGGAAAAACTCTTCTCAATGGAATAATACAGTCACTTTATTACACAATCAAGGAGACAAAACAGATTTAAAAAGCTACCGTAATATCAATTTCATACACTCATAAACTTTCCACAAAAATGATCAAAAGAGGCCATCAGAAAATGATGAAAAAAACCATTTACAGAATCCACAAGGAATCCACGTTCCTGTAGTTGGCTGTATACCATATATTAAAAAAAAAAATTGTTAAAATCCTTTATAAAAGGTATATAAAAATGCCTCAAACGGGCTATCACAAACACATTGCAAAACGTTTTCGGATTAAACAATCCATCATCAGTGCAAACCTGAAAGTATATAACCACTTTAATTAAAAAGAACGTTAAATGAAAATGTTGACAAAGGTTAGAGCAAAATGTGGTTAATACTTACGGTTGTACATGCTAGTAGCCACCAAAATATATGGGTAAAAACCCTTTAAATGTTATAAATTTGAAGTTGTTTTACATTATTAGTATTACTAATTTGTGATGGTTAAGTTACCGTTGGATAGGTAACATGGCGGCGTATGACTCTACATGAGTAAAATGGTCCTGAGACGAAGTGTCTACGAGGACCTGTTGATAACAACTGATCAAAATGACATTGTTGACAAGTTAGGACGGATGTTGTGTCAGAGCAGTCAGTGTAACTTACGGTAGTTGTCTAAAATTGACAGATGTCAGCCTTATTTAAAATTGAAAAAGTTAAAATTATAATAATGTAACAGTATCAACCATCAATAATGTAATCTGTATTGTAAATTAATCAGATAGGTATATTTGTAACATTGAAAATTGGTTTTTTTTTTTAAATTAATGTGAGTCAACTAGAATTTATGAAATTTTGTAGGATTGATAGGCAACCAACTATACATGTGTAAGGATATATTTATTTTAAGCTAGAGATTTTGTCAAAAGGCCCTGTATGTTGTGAGACATTTGGTACCTAGAAAATGGTAAAAAGGCATATGTGGGAAGATGGGTCCTAAAAGATATATTATTGAGTATTGATGTAATGGGTGGAGGTGTGTTTAGATATGTTATTGAGCTGAAATGTAAATATGACAAGAATGTGATCATAATGTGGTGTTCATGTAGTACTCAACTTAAAACTTAAGTATGGAAGGCCCTCTATGTCAAAAAACTACATTTGGTACCTAGTAAAGATAAATAAAAATAGATTTTTAAGTTATAAGTAAGTGAACATGAATTACTGGTTATGTGTGTAAAGTAAAGATGGTAGGTTGTTTATGTGTGTGGGCAAGTATGCCAGACTGAAAGAAAATTGATGGCTGAGAGATGGTTAGGTGTGATATTGTTCCTACATTGCTC